CTAAAATCTTGGTAGCATGTCTCCCAAATTTGTTTAGAAGTAAATAATAATTGTTTTTGATCTGTTTCTATGACGAATTTCTTGCCATTAATGAAGTGATGAAATTTCCTATAACCATTAGTGCCTTCACGCTCCTTTTTTTATTTGACCGTACCTCGTCATAAACCTGTGAGTACTCTTGAGGCATGAGCCTCCGGACGCCATTTGGTTCACTGCTATTAAAATGAAGCCGCACACAGTCCGCATTTTAAAGCAATCTGTATACATTTTTGTTACAGAGAATTGGTTGAAGAAAGCCAGCATTGGCGATGCTATGTGTAACGCTTAAATTTCTTCGCATGCAAAGACTGGTGTGTTTATTAGAGTATAGCGAACTTCATCGGGCCGTGTTCGGGAGCTATGGCAGCTACAGTGGGCATCAGTTTGGGCCAGCCCAACAGAACATTTGCAGGAGAAGTAAAAATTCTGCCTGGGGCACGCTGGTCGCGATAGGATGTTGGGAGCAAGGCTGTAAGGTACTGCGACATCCTACCTAAAGGAACACTGTAGTGAAAAAAAAAATGTTTGTGTTTTAAGAAAGAAGTATATTGAAAAAAAACTTACTACAATAAATAATGTTTTTCGAGCGATATTGACGCCACTAAACGCAATTGAGGTGCAAAAGTATGACGTCGCAGCCCGCTAAGTCCCGCTCCATGCTTACAAGGTGCTTGCATCTCTTATGGGCTGGAGAGATGATTGACGTGTGAAAGGTTGGTTTTAAATTTGTATATCCTTCTGTAATACTATATTATTTGACTATTTTTATGTTTTAAAATCAAATAATTAACATAGAGTCCTTATTCGGTGATGTATTATGAGATTGCTTCTCGCGCTTTGGCTCGAAACGTAAACGCTGAACGAGCGTATGTTGGGCTGGTCAAATTTTATGAGTTCGAGTTGTTTTGGGTTGACTGAGGTGTTTAGAGGAACATCTCCTCAAACGACGTAGTTTGCAGATAACAACTGTCGCAAGTATGCGCCTTCTGAAGTGGTGTGCGGATAATTGTTTTCGTGGCGGGTCTGGCCTAAACCTAGCGTCCCACACCAAATATTTTTATCGGTCTGGCTTGATTTCATTCTTTGCGTGTGTTGAGGCTCAATAAAGATGTTGGTTCCCTCAAAAGCGGCCCGGCTGCTCTTTGAATTTTCCAACCGCTATGAGTGCGACCATATTTTCAGTACCGAGGAAGTACCTGCAGAGGTAGGAATTTACGAGCCATTTGGCTGGAGTGAAGCGGATATTCGGCTCGTATCAAGTTAGTCCAGGTATGTTTCCGGCATTTCGCCTCAAAAATTAAGTAACTCCAAAGGTTTCCAGTGCACCGGGCTTCCCAAAACGAATAATCTTAAGTCGAGTTTTAATTGTGCTTCATTACGCTATCTCATAATGCTCGCAGATGACATGCGAAAACAATAAGAAACCCAAGGTTGAAATGACTGCATGTTTATTTTGTTGCTTTTTTCATCAACTCACTCGATTTTTAGCGCACATCAACAGACGCTGACAGACACCTGTATGGGACCGTCGCTTGCGCATGATGGAACGCTAGAACGTCGCTTTCGTCGTCGAGTCTTGCCACCGTTGTAAACGTTTTCAGACGGGGGCGGAATAACAGGCGGACTAAGGCGAAAACGGACTCCGACGGGCAGCGTTCATGTCCGCGTCATGGCAGACGACGATAGACGGTGGTAAAATAGGCAGACGATGCCGGAAGCTGCCGCGCCTCTGTTCGCATGACAAGCAGGCGCTGTCGGAAGCCGGACTAGACGTGCCGGATGTCGCAAAAGGAGGCACCAGGCTTGTTAGCGCGTCCGGCTGAGCAGCCAAGGCAATCCAGTTGTAATGGGCGGAGCAACTTATTTGTGGGCGGGGCTTAGAGAGGGCCGTAGCCTCCATCTGAATTGCGTCTAAGGGTGTAAATATGTCGTGAAAGATTTTTTTCTTTCGGTGGAAAAATAACAGAAATATACATGCCCCATTTATGCTCTTTAGAAAAAACGTTGTTTCAGTCCAGTGTCTTTTTAAAAAGGGGAAAGCTTTCCCGATATTGGGCGCAGGCTTTATATTTTTGTACCATACGCTGGTTTAGTTGTTTTCAATAACACCCTCAATTTGTTTTTGTTTCAAACCTTACCTTTTAGTCGGTATGTATAATTTATGTATATATATGCAATTAAGGAGGTAAGTATACCGAACGTTCTGAATTTTATAAGTAGATCCTTTGCGGAGAAAACAATAATAATAACTGATAATATTAATAATATTAGTTTATTCTGCCGTGTAAATATGGTGGGAGATAAGGATAAAAATCTGTCTGAGCGGCCTGACTGGTATTCAGCCGCCCTCAAGTCGAGAACCTTTCAGCTGTTCCGAGCGTACTTCTCACAAACATGAATTGTGCCAACCTTCTCTGAAACCCTCGCTGTAATATGTTTTCCGTCAAACAATGTCACAAACGACGGATGACGAAATGATACATTCGAGAGAACCTATTCGTCTAATTCAGTGAGCGTGTGCAAGTAAAATTAAAAAAAATAACTGTCGTCTATATTGGGGAAGCAGCAGGAAGAATTGCTCCCGGGAGACTGACTTGGTGAAGCTGCTTTTATACACGTTCTAGATTTCAAAACTTGAACAGAAGAACTTGAAGACCCTGCGACATATCTTCCCAACGGAGCAAAGCATCGTAAAATAAAAGCCGTCGGTGGTATTCGAGCCCGCTTATAGGTGCATGAGACGTATACGTTGCCAACCCTGTTACGCACGTGGAAATAACCTCGAATGATTACGTCATAATATTATGCGAACACCACATTAAAGAACCAGCCTTAAACTTTCACATATATTTTAGTAAGAAACTGCGCATTTTTAATATTCATCAGTATATCATAAACTGGACTTCAGTGCTTCTTACTGATCGTCCACAACACGTTATTGTAAAGGACGCTCCATCAACAAGATGTAACGTTACATCAGCCGTTTCTCAAGGCAGCGTATTGCGACCTCTGATTTTCCTAGTCTTCATTAACTATAGCCCCGCCTCAGTTATATCCACCATTCTCATTTTTGCAGACGACTGTGTCATTTACCATACCATTATAAATAGCAAAGACCATATATAACTACGTAACATCTTCCCGAGAATCGTCCTTCGGTGCGATCAATGTTAGAATACCCTTAATTGAGATAAATGTAGAGTGGTATCATTTCCTCGATTTTTATTACTTCTACTAATTATTACAGCATTAACAGCACTTTCTTTGAGAAAACTACACCCTATAAATAACTCGGTGGACATATTACAGACGATCAATTATGGAAAACCCAGATCCCCCTTACAACCTCAAAGGAATAGGACTTTGAGATGGGCACCCCAATAGTAAGCAGTAAGCATTTGAATCATTAATGCGGTCCAAACTTGATTACCCTTCATATACCGGGTCCCTATAGCAATATCGCATATTATAAAATTTGAAAAAGTTTAGGACAGAGCCGTTAGATTTATATTTTCCGGCTATTCACCCTATACCAGCATCACGAAGTTGCGGGAACGAGAAAATATTATGAAGTTAACAGTTCGGCCTAAAACAGTGCCACGCGCGCGGCCGATTGGTTACCGTGCTTGGCTGTTGCGCGGAGGATTCAGTTTCGATTCCAGAGAGCGGGATGTTGTTTTATTTTTCTTTCTACTTGGCGTTCTTGTCGTATCGAAAACCTTCTCGTCTGATCGAGTTACAAATGTTCTACGCGCCATACGTTCTGCGGCCGAATGTTTCAGGAACCCACGCGGGTACATAAGGTGATCTGCGTGGCGAGCCGGAGTCAGTCTCGCCTCAGCGTTCGATCCTGCTGTTACGCCGACTTCGACGCCCGCGACGCCCTGCGGTTATCTTCTGTTTTCTCTTTTTTTTTTTGGCACAACTTTTCTCCATTAAACGTTTAGTTTTGTTTCAGTTTTCGCCACCTTATCAATTGTCATTCGCGTGAATATCTTCGCTAACTTTAGTGTATAAAATTTACTGCCATAACCCAAAACCTAAAAACACACTTTTGCTCCCACAAGTTCCTTTTTTTTTTCAAGATGCTACTGTTGTAAACCTCATGTAAAACTTGAACCCATCTATGCATTGACCCTTTCATACGCCATCTCATCGATCCTTCTGGTGATCTCCAAATGGAACGGATAACCGGGTCCCGTAGCCACTCTCCGAAATACCGGTCATTTCAAAGAGCTCTTAGCTATTTAACATTATACTAGCGTTTCTGATATTTTCAAGTGATAATTAGAGTACTTATTATCTTGTTTTTCGGGTATTTACATTGTACTTGAATTGACATCTGTATTTGACCTTGAAGATTACTAAATATAGTACCAGTTACCTTGTGTTTCACAGAGTATTCGCATTTGTATTTGTGGTTGTATTGCCATCTGTATTTTGTAATCAATATATTTGTATAGTTTGGTAAGCACGAATTTCGTATTTTGCGCTTTACTAAGTTTTTAAACTTTTTATATCTTGGTTCTCCAATCCCTTATTCAATGCCGTGTCAAACGAACTCCGGAAACCATAAATAAATAAAAAAATAATTAAATATTGAACCTTAAACGCCGCAAATGTGGACTTTTACAACGAGGTACAGTGTATATGAAGATGCGATTTTATAAGGCTTAAGCTCCTCAACTTGATGGAGTTTATTGAACACGGAATAATGAGATAATCTGCCTTTCCAGGAGGACGGCCTGAGATTCAAACAGGTTTATAGAAACTGTGGTGTCAGACAGGTATGGCAATCGGCACAAAAAAACTGAGAGTGAGCTTGTTATTGTTAATAATCGCGTCGAATCCCGAGAGCATGCGTCCTAAGCTTGAATAGAGCCCCATTACCGCAATCCGTGCGCAGTAAGAGAAAAGATACACAGGAAAAGAAAAAAAAAATCATGTAAGACTAGTGTCACCTGTGCTTTGTGATGGCTTCCAGGACCGTTTCGGGTTGGAAGACCGTACCCGGCATCACTGTCGTGGAACCAAACATAGTGGCAGCCAGCACGCCCATCGTTCTTCCGTGACCGTAGATCAATTCTGAAGATAGGCAGATGGATTCTCGCTGAAAACGAGAACGGTCGTTTGGTTCGTTACGACAATTAAAAAAAATACACATTTCATTCTCATTCTTTTCTTATTGTTTTCTTAAATCACCGGAAGAGGACATTATTCAAGGGGGGACAAAACATCAGGATATGTTGCTAACTAGCAATTTGTACGGTAAGCTACTAAAGTTAACTCTAAATTTACTAGTAGTTAATTTGTACAGTCCGCCTTGTTTTTACCGCCTTGCAGATAAAGCAAAGCGGCCGAATCTGTAGAGTTCAAAGCCTATGTGAAACTATTTATGTGTAACTGGGATGGTAAGGTATGTAGTGAACGAAAATAAGTTTAGTAATGCTAAAGGTCTGCTTGACCTTTTGGAATTACAAATTCAAAGCAAGAGTCTCTTTTTATAACGAGGTGGCCTAAAGAGTTAACCACGCGAGTGTAAATACTAGCACGTACTCTAATATAGAATACGTACTCTTTAGAATATAGAACGAAATGCGGCGGATAAACTTCCATACCCGAGGTAGACTCTTCGAGTCAATATTCCGTCTCAATAACAATGCTAGGTTAGCAATCGACATTAGAGAAACAAGGTAATTGGTTCGATCTCAAATGCCTTTACAATTAACATTTAGAGTTAAATTATTATTAAAAAGTGATGTAGGCTTAAGTCTAGGCCTCTTTGATTACTTAAGTAGAATTACTTTTTACGGACTGAGAGACGATATGAACATAATAAGACTGATTATCAATATGTAGACGAATATACCTAGCTGAAACTTGGAAGTATTTGATGTCTGGAAATTTTAGAATTTTACGTTCATTGACTACCTTAAGTAAAAAATATTCTCTAAGTGAGAACCAGTGTTCTCAATCTCGGAGCCCAGGAATGAAACATTTTGTTTCCGCCTAAACGCTACAAAGTTCGCAACTAAAGCTCCGTCATGTTTCGGTCTAGATACACCCATCCTATGAGTACGTTCCAAGCACGAAGAATCCATCTCCTCAGTAAGAACCTCCTCACAAAGTGAGACAAATTTAGCAGCCAAGATGGACCATGTCTCGCCGATGGAGTCAACTATTTTATGAAAAATCACAATTGACCTCCGAGATTGACTTTTTAGATCATCACATTGCGAAGACAGGATTTTGACTTGTGGAGCCAACCGACATGTGGAAATCTTACAATTGTCCATATCAAGCTTTAACTGAGGCGACAGAGCCAAATTAGCCTTGACAGTCTTGAGTCTCGTCATCACATGTCATACTTTTTCATTTAAAATTTTCTGACTGGTTTGGACTATCTTTACCTTATTCAGAATCACAGTCTGTCCCGCGTGGAGTTGGAATAGAATAGCTTGGCTGTGCAACATAAGTTGTTCCTGGGCTTCCGTCAAGGGCCCGTATTAGACGCAACGTCTCCCAAAAGTAATAGGAGCAACTTTGCACAATCAGACAGATAACAAGAAAGCACTGCTTTGCCACAGCAGCAGGACACGCAGGTATCGCCATTTCAAAACATAGATGCATTAATTTTTGCTAACCTGCATCGACACGAGAGATTGATTTAGCGACATTGGGTTGACGGCCTTGCCACTGCGCCCACTGAAGAGATCCGTTGACGGTCGTATGTTTAAAGGTTCTCAGATTACATTTGATGATGATGATCCCGGGGCCAGACTTGACGCGCCGATGGTGTATTTGCGAAGTAAGTGCAGCTTGGGAAGAGCGGCTTCTCTTCATAGATAAACCGGTTCAACGTGTCGGTCTAATCTTGCGACGATGCAGAGGGGGTTACGTTGCTGAAAGAGAACTCGTGCCGGCCGGGACTGGAAAGGATACCAAGGCGCAGCAAGTGCTACATAGACACGATAAACATATTTATCAGCGTAGTGTTGGAGGCCCACCCGATGCGTTCACTCATGCATATGCGGGGCCAATGTTGACGACTTCTGCAAAGGTAGAGTGGTTGACAAGAGAATGCCCACCGTTGTTGTTGGATACATCAATACCATACAACAGACGTCGTGGTACTAAACCAGAAACACGAGGGAAATGAAGTCAGGGTCGCGTGCGAAGTCCTGCCTCTACGAATCTAAATTAACTAAGGACCTCGTAACAGACGCTTACAGCACAACTTTGAAAAGGACATATCATCCCATCTCACGTGGACTACCAGGCCCTCGAAACCAGGTGGAAGACGCTGCCCGATTCAATGGGAAACAAACACTTCCTCCTCCGGATAGAACTTCTGCTTTGATCGTCTTCCAGGTTAGTTGACAATAGCTACAAGTGGCGTGTTTCTATGCAACTATTGGCAGCCTAATATATTTTTCGCAGGACCGTATCAGAGGAGAAACTGCCCGTTTTCCCGAGACCACATACCAAGCGAAGGACGATAATACCCGGACATTGGATCTTTACCTGACGAGTCTTCAGGTCTCAAGCCTCGTGGCTTTCAGGACGCGCAGTACAGGGAGAACTGTCATGCATGATCAAGCTCAACTGGACAACCGCCAAGGTCAAATGTAAGGCTCAGGAACTCCGCCGCAACACACGGAGGAGAAAATGCAGCCCATTCAATAAAAGGTTTGGACAGCGCCGGGTCTACCGTGCTTATGGATGCTTTGCTGGAAGGATTAAAGTTCTTAGAGCTGGAAAGAAATTATCCCTGCGCCTCGAAGCATCACAAGAGAATATATTCAACAAGAATATATTCTACAATCTTTGTACACCGTACAGGCCCCATACCGCACGATCGATATTTACACTCCGGTCTCGGTCAACGTTGAAGAACCGGATAATGCCCCTTTCATTTTGGGTAGGGCAATCCAAGCTGTGGTGTCCCCCAAGGTCGACATGGGGACTGGACCACACGGTACCTCTTCAACGCATTTAGTAACTTGTAAATCACCGAAACCCGTAACACGCTGCTCCTCATGCAGACTTGCTTCCTGTCAGCACTCTCCTACAGAATAGCTTCACCATCGTTCACAATGACTTGTTCACCAAATCAAAGTTCAAGGCGCAAATCGCACCTTCGCGATCAGAGACAAAAGAAAAGGCTTTTGAGTTTATACTACACAGGACAGTCATTGAGGTGGCTTAAGAAAAGAGCGTCTGGGGAAATCTGAACTTTATTAAAAAAAGAGGGCAACGTATTTCGGGCTTAGAGCAAATAACTGTGAGAGTTGGTCTAGTTTGATTTTTAGACCAAAGAATATTACATAAATTGCGGGTAAACTACGTTTTTAATAATAAAAACAACTGAGGTTTTTGGTACTCTTTAGACCTTACTCTGTCTTCCAAATCCCGTGCGTAATGATGTTGTAGGGGGGACTACGGAGCTCCGGTTCAAATACACTTCAGTGTCTTCAGCGCCGAAAAAGGAATGTGCAATTGCGAACTTCCAGTGCCCACTTCAGGCGCTAGAAAGCACCGTACCAGATCGGCATCGCAATTTTCGTAGTGCGTGCTCTAACGGAGGGTAAAATAGAAAGCGGAAGTGCTTTGGATAATCAAAACCCTTTCACCACGGACGGTAGCAGCAGATAGAAAATGATTTAGGTAACTTCTGTCAGTCATTTCTGCTCAGGCGACAGAATATTTAATACTTAAACATAATTAAGCCATACGAGTGCGCAAGTCCCTAACCTACAATAGTGCCTCCAATAAAGCTACATTATTCTTTCCATGACCGCCATTAACCGCTGAAGATTGAGGCATACTAGTTTTTTCTGAACAAATACGCAATAAAATATCTGTTTTTGGGGGTTAGTGACGCGTTTTTTTTCCACAATGGTGCCAAGGTAAACATTATAAAAAATACTAGCTGGAACGTTCTTCCTCCTTAAAAATTGTTCCAGGTTACGTATCTCACTGCCGTATTATTGTAGGTGGTCCTTGGCAACACCACAAGTCAGTGGAGGTACAATAAAGTCCGGTTCACGTCTCAGCTTTGTATCACTAGTATTGCGCGAAGTGAGCACTAAATTAGTAAGGTCAGCGCTATGTCCAGGGCTGAATACTAGCGCTGATACTGACCTATGATGTATGTTTAAACAGGCCTTCACGTACGAGTCCCGATAGGTTGATTCAATTCCGCCACCTTGTTCTATGGCGACACTGATTTCAATTCCGTCTCGTAAAAAGTTTCTGACGACAACTCCATCATTTATGCCAAGAACGTCGCCCTCTTCGCCACCAGAGCCTTACGAGAAGCCCAATCCGCACTCTAGCCCAATCTTTCTCCGGTGAGAAAACCTTGAACATGATCATAAACAAAACGCGTCGCAAACTAAAAACAAAACAAGAAAACTTGTATTTTTTTTAATTTTGGCAAAGAAGGAAGACCATCGAAGCTGTACTATGGTGGGAATGAAGTAATGGCCGGCCGGAAGACAGCAAGCCAGAGTGGAAAGGCTGAAAAGGATGCCGCCGTCGCTATTAGATGGCGGTAGCTGTCCAGAGTTTTGCGTCGAGATTTGTTTGCCTACGTACACGATACTGAAAAAACAAGCCCTTGGCAGCTCCGCTGCCAAAAAAAAAAATTCTCCGCTGGTTGAGCAGGACCTACACTCTCAGAAAAATACACCTCAAAACTTCAATTCGACGTACAGCGCCCCATAATCGAACAGGCGGCCCCAAAGTTTACGAGGGGCTTGATAGCCGTGTGGTACAACTTATTAAGATAGCTGATGTACGTATTATTGAATACAAAAAAGAGTATCGGAGTTTTCTTGGCCGTACTGCAAAAGCTCCGTGTTTTCTTTCTTTTGTCTTTGATACGTACTTTAGCAATTTAATATGTTACATCGCACCGTCATCAAGCCCCTGGTAAAATTTTGGGCCGTCTGTTCGATTATACGGCGCTGTACGTCGAAATGAAGTTTTGGGGTGTATGATATGGGACAAAAGGGTGTAAGGTGATACCCTTTTTTTTAGAGTGTACATCGAGCGTATCGACAGCTTGAATATTAATGGTATTAACTTTGGCCGCTTTAGGGGCGCTTTAAGTTTGAAACAAGTCTGTGCTCAAAAGAGCAAACTATCAGCCTTTTCCAGACGATTACCAGCTAGACGGGGGGGGGGGGGGAAGGGGGTGTCTGTCAACTGTCTCAATTGTGCCCCCCCCCCCCCC